CATTGGATGGGGCTCTGAGCAATCTGATCTAGTTGAAGATGACCCTGCTCATTGGAGGGGGCTTGGACTAAATAATCTTTAAAGGTCCCTTCAAACCCAAATCATTCTATGAGTCTACGAAGTCCTCCAAGAAGCTTTTTTTCTGCTGTAAAAACTGTTAACATTTATCAATAGCAGTGGAGTATAAAAGCTCTAAACCCCACACATTCTCTACTGCCATGAATAATCTAACAAATTGGCTGAGCTCTGTGGGAAACCACGGCGTGTTTGCTTAGGCTCACTTGAAGTGCACATAGTCATAAGTATTATTTTTTATGAAACAAACTATTTGAAATGCATTATATTGCACTCAATCTGAAGATATAGCTTCTGCTAGTAGTGGACTGACAGATTTTTACATGTAAAAATGCCATAACCACTATTTAAATTTAACCTCCAGCCACAAAAATGGGAATTATTACAGTAAAGTAACCTGAAACCTTTTTGAGATTTTTATATAATTATACTGGTTTCCCACAATTAAGACTATGAATAAGCTGCTGATAATAAGCTCTCAGTGTTCTTTCTAGTACAGTGAAGGGATTCTTTACAAACCTCTCAAACTGAAGAAACTGAACTGAAGGAAAACTCTGAGACATGCTGATTCATAAAAGGACATGTTCTTCAGCTGGATGAATTGAAGGAGTGGCACCTTTGTAATAAACTCCAGATCATATGCCTCCAGCAAGGAACAAATTAAAAGGAAAAACAAACAGAACTGTCACATCAAAACCATCTCCCATTACCTTGGGCCCTTTCCAATTATCAAAATTTCCAAAAGCAGTTGTTCCACTTCTGAACTGTAAATCTACTGGAAAACTTTTTATTAATTAAAGCTGAATTTTTGAAAGGTAATCTTTGAGAAAGTTTCACTGGAAAACATCAATATTACAAAAATTGTATCACAGCCATAAAATATATACGTTGTCTATTTTATGTATATAAATCTATGCATGCATACAATTTTAATGTTTTGTATAATGTATTTTATATTGCATATGTATATTGCTATATTGCTGACAAATTTGGTGGCCTTCTACAAAGCGGTTACAGCAGCAGTGGACTAGGGAAGAGCAACCAATGTCATCTACCTGGACTTGTGCAAAGCATTCGACACCGTCCCACACGATATCCTGGTCTCTAAATTGGAGAGACTTGGATTCAACAAATGGACCACTCGGTGGATAAAGAACTGGCTGGATGGCCGCACTCAAAGAGTTGCAGTCAACACCTCGATGTCAAAGTGGAAACCAGTGATGAGTGGTGTTCCTCAGGAGTCGGTACTGGAACCTGTACTGTTGAACATCTTTGTCGGCAACATGGACAGTGGGGTCAAGTGCACCCTCAGCAAGTTTGCCGATGATACCAAGCTGTTCGGTGAGGTAGACACGCTGGAGGGGAGGGATGCCATCCAGAGGGACCTGGACAAGCTGGAGAGGTGGGCCCAAGCCAACCTCATGCAGTTCAACAAGGCCAAGTGCAAGGTCCTACAGCTGGGTCAGGGCAATCCCAAGCACAAATACAGGCTCGGTGGTGAATGGCTGGAGAGCAGCCCTGAGGAGAAGGACCTGGGCGTGCTGATTGATGAGAAGCTCAACATGAGCCAGCAATGGGCTCTCTCAGCCCAGAAGGCCAACCATATCCTGGGCTGCATCAAAAGAAGCGTGGCCAGCAGGTCAAAGGAGGTGATTCTGCCCCTCTACTCCACTCTCATGAGACCCCACCTGGAGTACTGTGTCCAGCTCTGGAGTCCCCAACATAAGAAGGACACGGACCTGTTGGAGCGCATCCAAAGAAGGGCCACGAGGATGATCTGAGGGCTGGAGCACCTCTCCTATGAGGAGAGGCTGAGAGACTTGGGGCTGTTCAGCCTGGAGAAGAAAAGAGAAGGCTCTGGGTAGATCTTATTGTGGTCTTCCAGTACCTAAAGGGGGCCTACAGGATAGCTGGGGAAGGACTTTTTACTAGGTCGTGTAGTGATAGGACGAGGGGGAATGGCTATAAACTGGAAGAGGGCAGGTTTAGATTAAACATTAGGAAGAAATTTTTCACTGTGATAGTGGTAAGGCACTGGAACAGGTTGCCCAGAGAGGTTGTTGAGGCCCCATCCCTGGAAGTGTTCAAGGCCAGGCTGGATGTGGCCTTGGGCAACCTGGTCTAGTGGGAGGTGTCCCTGTCTATGGCAGGGGGGTTTGAACTCGATGATCTTCAAGGTCACTTCCAACCTAAACCATTCTATGGTTGTATATAACAATACATAAAACATAAAATAGGAATGTTTTGATATTGTGTTTATGTACACATTACCTGTACCCAGATCTTTCTGAAAGGAGATTTAATACTGGTAAGATTTATGTGTGTGTTTGATCAGAGTTTAGCATATCTGCTAGTGTTTTGGAATATGGACATGTCAAATGTTCTTCTAGAATCAAAAAGAATTAAACTACCTGAACAGCATGAACACTTTTTTTTTTTTACTAATGTAATCGAACAATAGTAATTTAGATAGACATTTCTGCCCATGTTATTTTTGTTTTCTTGACAGAAGACAAAGCTTACTGAGGTGACAGCTTGCTGATGACAGTATTATTCAAAATAATAGGAACAGAGCTGACTGAAAAACTTCAGAAGGGCATTATGGAATTGAGTAATTGGTGAGTACAGCAGTCAATGAAATTCAATATAGATAAATATAAAAACATACATAGTAAAAAAATATTAATTTCACACATCAAGTAACAGACTTTGAACTGACCATCATTCAAGAATAAGATCAAAGTTATGACAGACATTTCCACAAAAATGTCAGCCAGCCCAATGTTCAGCAGTGGTTAAAAAGGCAAATTAAATGGCATACAGTTCACAAAAAAGCAGAAAGTTGCAACAGCTTTCATGTAAAGGATGGCTAAGTAGACCTGGGAGGGAGAACTGGAGGGAGAACTGGAGGAGAATCTGTGTAACAGTGGCCTAGATGAGGACCAATTGTTTGTTGTCTGTTCCAGTACAGGGCCTGAGGACATCAAATGAAGCTATAGGAATCGAGTTCAAAAGGAAAAATAAAAGAGAGTGTTCTTCAGACAATGGGTATTTGTGCTCTAGAACTATTTGCCAAAGGATGTTTTGGACAACAAAAGTTTAAATGGGTCAATGGGACACTGAACAAGTTTATGCAAGAGAGATCAGCTTTATTTCCTTATCCTTGTTTAACGATTTCCTAATTCATAATTTTTTATGTTCTGCCTTTCTTTCTTTCATCAGACCATGACGTTCCTCTTAAGACATCCTTGTAAGTGCCAGACAGTTTATTTCCAAACAAGAATTGACAGAGTGGCATGCTAGATAAATACTTCTCTCTGTAATTATCCTAATTTCTAATAGCTCCATCATATTCCTTGGAAAAAATGTTGATAGCTGCTCTGGGCTAGCTATGAGACCTTGATTGCAAGGAATGTGTCCTTAACTCTACAAACATTTAAGCACAAGTCAGCAGAAGATACTATTTAGCATAAAAGATAAATGTGCAAATATTTACAAGAACATAATTGTAAAGTGGCCTCTAACAAACTTAACAGCATACCTTACGCATAATTGAGAGCTGTAGTCTATATCATATGTAAAATTATTGTAAATCCGTTGTTTTGGCTTAACTGTGTTGATTTTCTTCCGCGGTTTTGCAGATTGTACTGTATTTAGATAGAAGCGATGACAATAATGTGGACACATGATTTGCCCAGAGAAGTTGTGGAAGCTCCATCCCTGGAGGTGTTCAAGGCCAGGCTGGATGGGGCTTTGAGCAACCTTGTCTAGTGGGAGGTGTCTCTGCCCATGGCAGGGGGGTTGGAACTCGATGATCTTTCAGGTCCCTTTCAACTTAAACCATTCTATGAGTCTATGATTTAAATTTGTTTTGGTGCATCTTTATAAAATACAACAAATTATGGGAGAGAGGAAGCAGTCAGCAGGACTTTGTATCTGGTTTCGAGCTGCAGAGAGATTTTGAATACGGAAGCAGTTGACTTCCTACATAAGGTGTTATTAGCCATTTCCTTCACTTCAGCTCTTGTACCCCACGCTGGGGGCAGACTGCACCAGACAGGTCAGTGTCCCCCCCCAGAGCTACCGGCCAAGGCCAGGAGAGCTGAGCTGCTGTACTCTCGGTTTTCTTCTCACCTTCCTCAAGAGAAAAAAAACCTCTCCC